AAGATTTACAATCAGTTATTTTTATTGTTTTTACAAAAATGGTATAATTTTATTTGTTTTGAGAATTCATTTATAGTAATAATGATTTTTGTGTCTCGCAAAATCAGTTAATTTTTTTGATATTCAAAATTTTCTTCTCCGATTTTACCTTTACCTCAATTCTCAGTTATGAGTATCATTTAGGATTAAGATAATATATAATTAGGATAATATAAAAAAAAATGGAATCTTTTTTTTGAAAAGGAAATTGTTTATATAGCACCACTTTCTTTATTCAAACAAAAATCAAAAAGTTTGATGCAGCGACTTGGCACTATGACTATGAGTTCTTTACTAATAGGAAAAACAAAAATGATTTTATACATTTATTTTATTTTCGTTCTAAAAATTTTTAAAATTAATGCATTAAAATAAAAATCGTAAATGAAAAACTGTAAAAAAATAGATTATAGATTATTTGTACATACTAATTAAATTAGTACATCTTTTGACTCCGATTAGTATATCACTTGACTCCCAATTAGCATTTAAAGAGTATCCTTAAAATAAACCCCAGGTCTAGATTCTTATCTTAGACCCCTATATAAATAAAAAATTTTTAAAGTAATATTCACGTGATTTTTACAATTACCCAGGGTCTAGGATAAATTTACCCACTTTCACAATGTTTAAAGTCCATCAAAAATAAATAAAAACAAAATTCTAATTCACAGTAATTTAATAAACTGATAAACAATAAATTTTATAATTATTTTATTTATTTAAATCATATTAACTTTGATGAAATATGAAAATGGATACTCAAAAAAATTTCTTGGAATGAGAAACTGAAAGAAGTTTGGGATAAAACAGCTTTTTCGTTAGACTTCAATATACTAAAAAATACTCAAACAATTAAAAAAAACAAAAAGCAAAGTATATAGAATACAAAATAGTAGAGTATATAATTTCAGTATTCCAATTCAACTCAGAAATACTATGGAAGGTAAAAAAATTTTATAGTATTTTCTTATTTATTAGTTTTATTTTATAATTTATTAATTATATTAATTTATTATTTATTTATTTAAATCATTATTTATTTCTATAGAAGAACAAAAAAGTACGTTATCTCAAATTATTATGTTCCAATAAAATCTCCACTTAATTAAATTAATATTCTAATATACTGTACATACATATTTATACATTTAACACTTGATTCCTAACTAAATTATTTGATAATTTCTAATGGTAAATTATTTTTTATTTATATATTAATTTTATGAATTTATATTATATTTATTTAAAAAAATTATTTTATTTTATTTTAATTATTAGGAATGGAACAACTTTATCTTAAAATATTGAAGCTAACAATTCGAATAAATCACGTGGTAATCAATATGGTTTCATTATTATTTTTGTTAATTTATTTTTATAAAATTTAGTTATAATTTTTTTTATTTATTTTAGTTGATAAAATAGATGAAGAATATGGTATTGCTGTCCTTCAAGTTCAGGATCAAGATTAATATGTTAATTTTTGTTTCTGACTTCTTTCTTAATATTTATTATTTTTATAATCATTAAATAAAATTTATTAAATAATCAATCTAATTAAATAATCACGATTATAATTTGGTAATTTTACTTGTAATTCCTTCATTTATAAATTTATTTTATATAAGAGAAGAGAGTAAAGGTTAATAAGAAAAAATTGCATTTATAAACATACATATGATCATAATAATAATGAGTGTAATTTATAAATTACTAACCCCTATTATAATATCACTCCTATTGCATTTCAAAGCATCACTATTACAAATAATAAATATGAAAATAATAAAAAAGTTAAGTGCTTGTTCCTAAAGAGCTTTAAAAAAAAGTAATACTATTATTATCATTACGTTGAGATTATATTATTACTCAGAGAATAAAAGAGAATAAATAATGACATGTAACACGAACCTTATGATAAATTTCCGATCGCATGCATATGTTTAACCAATCGGAAGTCCATATTATATTATATCGCAGATTTGGGGTCCAATAAAGTGTTAATTAAAAAAAGGTGAAAAAAGTATGCATAAATGTTTTGTTTTTTTTTGTCGCACTAGCTACATGTCTATGGGGGTAATTCTATTGGTCAATCCATAAAAATTCAGGTTTTAGCATGTGAAACCCATATTTGTCAGTCACCCAATGCAGGTGCGACAAAAAAAAAACCCCCCTGTATAATACTTTATTTTTTTTTTTGGTAATATTCAAATCGATAAAATTATTTTTTTAAAAATATCGTACCAGATTATGGAAATGATCTCTATATATTACGGACACAATAAGTTTTTTTTTTGTAAACCAATTTTTGTAACTGAAATTACGCCGCGCTATTATTACAATTATAAATAACTCGTTACATTTAAATTGAAATTATTTGCATTCTCTTCTCTATACGTATATATTTAAAGTTCATCGCGTCGAATAATAAAATTTATTAAATAAATAAACTGATAAACTATAAATTATATATTATTTAATATTCATTTAAAATAAAAATGCCTACTCAAGAAATCATTTGGAATGAGAAACTGGAAGAAGCTTGGGATAGATTATTTTTAAATATAGATTCCACTATTCACAATTCTGAAAATGAAGAATTTCAAAAAAATATGGTTCATAAATTATCTCTCACAGAGAACGAAAAAAGTTTCCTACTTAATGAATTGCAAAGAGTATGGGATAGGTATAGAGTTAGATTTAATCCTATAGACGAACAACATCAATGTAAATTTTGTCAGAATTGGCATCAAGCAATCCAATATTGTGAGAGTTGTATTCGTAAATTTTTAGAAAATAATTTTGTAAATTGGACATCTGGAAATGATGAAATTGATAAATTAATTCAAGAATGTCAGCAAAAAACTGTTTCGCCACGTCATGTCATTGAGTGGATTAGTTATGATCAATTTGAGAATATAAAATATCTTACAGAAGGAGGATGTGCTACCATTTATACAGCACAATGGAAAAATGGATACTATAATAAATGGAATTCAGAAAAACAAAGATTGGAAAGACTTGGAGAACATAGGGTTATCCTAAAAAGTTTAAATAATTCAGATAGTAAAAATGTAAAATGGTTTCAAGAAGTAAGTTAAATTACTATTATAACATTTATTAATTTTTTTAATTAACATTTCAGGAATATTAATAATTATTAAATACGATAATTAGGTAACATATAGTTTTACACTTGATAATACTTTTCAAGTGCTTGCTAGATGTTTTGGACTTACTAAAGATCCAAATACTAATAATTATATGTTAGTTGAATATTATTATGATAATGATTTAAGACATCTTTTAAAAGAGAATTATCACACGCTTACGCAAATAAAAAAGTATAAAATTATTTATAAAATAGCAGGTAGTTTATTTAGGATTCATGGTCAAAATGTTGTACACAGAGATTTACACCCTGGAAATATTTTATGTAGTCGTAATTTACAATGGTATGTTAGTGATTTAGGATTAAGTGGTCCAGTTGACAAACCATCAAATAGAATTTATGGGAATCTCCCATATGTTGCACCTGAAGTTCACTGGGGTCAAATTTATACAATAAAATCAGATATTTATAGTCTTGGTATATTAATGTGGGCGGTAATAACTGGTGAAACTCCTTTTCGTGAATGTGAACATGATAGAGATTTACAATTTGCCATAGCCAATGGATATCGACCAAGATTAAATGAAGAGATTCCACATGAATATGCAGATTTGATGAAACAATGTTGGGATGTTAATCCTGATAATAGACCTGATGCAATTACAATTTATAAAAAAATGGAATTATTAATAAAGTTATTATACAATGAAAGGGAGAAAAAACAAGGATTTACTATTCAACCCAAAAAATTAAAAAAAAAAAGGAACGAAAATATTGATAAAAAAAGTTACAAGCAGAGTATATAATATAATTAAAATGAAGCCTCAAAATTCCACTTATGGTAATATATTTTACATTATTTCAGTTATTTATTTGCTTTATTATATTAAATTCTTTTTTTTTATTTATTTTAAATTATTTCCTATTTTCACAGAAGATCAAAAATGTAAGTCATCTCAAATTATTATGTTGCGATAAAGTCTTTATCTAATTAATATTAAATTTATTCACGTTTGTATTTATACATTTAGCAAATTCACATAATTCATTTGATTCCGGTTTAAATGATTTGGTGCTTTCTGATGATTTTGATGGTAAAAATTTTTTTTTTTTTGTTTATTTGTTCAATAAAAATTAAATTGAGTTACTAAATATAAATAAATCTAATTTCATGATGCAATTATAGAAATGGAACAACTTTTTAAAAGTAGTAATGAAGCAAAAGATTCTAATGGTAATTAATCTTATTTTATTATTATTTTTTTGTTTCTGCATTATTATTCGGTTTAAAAAAAAAAATTTTTTTCTTTATTTAAAGAAGAAAATGGAATTGATGTTCCTTCAAATTCAGGCTAATTCGGTGATACTTTGGTATTTTTATTATATTCACATTTTACTTTTTTTATTATTAAGTATTTCATAAAATTTATTAAAAAAAGCAGATATAAATATTTTTATTTCTATTTATTTTATCATTTTATATTTATCGTTACCAGTTACACCATATTTCTTAAGAATTTTATTTTATATATGTTACACTATCATTTTATCAGGATGTCAATAAGAAAGATCACGTGCAAAATGATGTCGAATTCACGGAAAGAATTTTTCGAAAACAGATTTTTTTTGTCTTTTCTTTAAAAAAAAAAATAATAATAAATGCCCAAAAAATATATTTATCATAAATAAAATAAAAATAAAACTATAATACAATAATATATTTACAGTATATATAGTTTTTAGAGCATTTTTTTTTTTGCTCAAAAAAAAGATAATATTTAAAAAATATATAAAATAAAATACATATCATCAAGATATATTAAGTAAATTAAATAAATTAAATAAATTAAATATAAACGTCAGTTTTTTCATTTTGTAAATTCTTTAAATACTTCAATTCTTCTTCAAGTTGTTTGATCTTCATTAATTGCCATATATTTTCTATGTTTTCAACTTTCTCATCGTCATCATTTTCCCCACTTTTAATTTTCTTTTCTTGACTAAACTTAAATAAATCTTTTATGCTCTCTTGTAACATTAATCGTAATATTCTTCCTTCATTTTGTATATTTTCTAATAATGTTTCCATTTCTTCAAGTTTGTCTTCTATTAATTTAACTTCATTACTTTTTAATTCTAATTCAATTTTTAATTCAGCAATTTCTGTTTCATATTGAAGCTTATCATTTCTTAATCTTTTTAATAATTTTTCCAACTTATCAGTTTTTTCATTAGTAAAATTTATTGAATTATTAATTTGTTGAAACAAAATGTAATGACTTTCCAAGGAACCTTTCAAATTTTTCAATTCGACTTGAGATTCTTTAGAATTTTCTTTAGATTTTTGTAATTCCGAATTCACTTTCGTTAAATTACAATTACTTTCTTCTAATTTCAATTCTGAATTTGAAACTCGATCTCTAAGTACTTGTAATTTAGGTAACATCTGTTCTCGTGATTTACTTGATATCTCCATTCTTATATTCTCGAAATTTTCTTTTTCTTTAGATGCCATAGCTTTAGTTCTTTCTTTTTCGTTTTTTTTGTAATACTTAAGCAATTGATTGGATAATAATTTATTTTCTTTTAATACTCTTGATAATTGAGATTCCAAATTGGCTGTCTTCTGCATTTCTTGTGAATTAATAATTCCTTCGGTATTAGTAGTAGTAGATTTAAGTTCATCCAATTTCTTTTTATAAAGTGATACTTCTTTAAGTGCGGCTGTTCTTTCTTTTTCAGCAATACTCATTTTTTCTGATGCAATTTGAGCTTGAATTGCAATTGTTTCCTAAAAATAAAAATAAAATATAATAATTGAATACAAATATAATAAAATAATTTAACTATTTAAAATAATATAAAAATTTCTAACCTTCGCTTTAACCAATTCTTTTTTCATTCTAATAATAGATTGCATCACTTTATATTTTTCACTTCCCGGTTCACCCATATCTTTCATCAAGACTTCGATATCGACATCTTCAAAACTATTTTCACCTCTAACCAAATTTGACGTATAACCTGATTTCTTTGCTAAATCCAGTTCTGCCTTGTACCATGATTCTCGTTGTTTATATTTTGCTAAATCAAGTTCATGTTGTTCTAATTCTTGTTTATAATTCTCTCTCTCATTGTTCTTCTTCTTATTATTATTATCATTATTCACATTATTCACATTACTATTATCTAAAATAATGGTTGAATTTTCAACATGTAATTTTGGTCGCATGTTGGACTCGTTAGATGTGTCAGATTCGGTAGATTCGGACGCAGACATCATAAAACTTTCTTTATCAGGTGTTGATATCGATGGAACAATATTTATATTTACATCCGATAATCGATTATTCACTAATGAAGATATACTAGATCTGCTAGACTTATTAAGTTCAGATTTTTTTGAAGAATAATCCAAATAATTATTATTATTGTTGTTGCTATTATTGCTGCTATTTGAATGAACACTTTCACGTCGTCTAGCAACTAGATCAGAATGTTCGTTTATTGAAGAAGAGGAAGAAGAAGGAGAAGAAAAACCTGTCAATATATTTGTACGATAAGTTTTCGATTCTAGTGGTTGTATATCATAATGACTAAGTTGTGAATTTGGACGTCGATAATCTCTAGGAGATATTGGTTTCTTATTAACTTTTCTTTCAATTAGATCATTTCTAATGTATTCATCCATTTGATCATCGTCTTCTTCAAAATTATTAGAAACAACCTCTAACCTGGGTGGATATTTTATAGCAGTAGGCGTCTCTTCATCATCTTCCTCATCTTCCTCTTCCTCATCTTCTTCTTCCTCTTCCTCTTCCTCGTGCACTTCATTAGTACCCTCGAAATCATTCTCCTCCAAATTATTTTCATCCTCTAAATTATTAATGATCTCTGATTCAGCTTGACTTATAGTATAGAATGTATCTGTCCCATTTGAACTTTCACGCAATGATTGAACTTCAGAGTTGATATTCTCTTCCTCTTCTTCATTTTCGGGTCTTTCCTCATATTCTTCGTATTCAGGTTCTTCATATTCATCATCAGGTTCTTCATAGATGACACTCTCCTCTTCATCTTCAGATTCTTCATAAATCTCTTCTTCTTCAGATTCTTCTATTATAGTATTTAACAGTGAATCACGTTTTGATACAAATACTTCTTGCGTAATATCTTGTTCATGTTCTTCAGAATCTTCAAAATCATCAGTTGAGTCTACAAATTCCGAGTTTGATATATTAATATTATTATTAATTTCTTTTGATGGATTTATGTTTTCTTGAATAGAATTATCTTGCAAAATTACTGTTGGAGGTAATGATTTTTCGTCTATATCTGTATTCATCGTATCATTTTCTTTTTCAACATTATTCTCGTCATTTATATCAGTCTTGTTGTTATTATTATTAATATTAATATTATTAAATTTACGCTTGGTAAATTCAGTGATTGATGGAACTTTGATTACAAGATTAGGTTTTGCTTTATTACTACGAAAATCAAAAGATATTTTATGTGATGATGAAAGTTTTTGTTGTTGTTCTTGACTTTTCTCTGTATCGACTTGTGGTCCGGCTATCGATATTCTAGACGCTGTTGAATCTGATCGCGTTGATCGAGTTGATTCTATTGATTGTCTTGGTGAATTAGTATCGCGCTGCATAAGTATTGGAGGAACTCCAGCTAGAGTACCAGGAGGAAATTTTATTTTTGCTAAACAAAAAAAAAAATTAAAAATAAGAAATAATATAAAAATAAGGTTTGAGATTTATACAAGTCAACAAAAAATATATTACAAATATCAAATAATTACATGTATCTAATATATGAATACATCCATCTGAGCCAGGTTTAGGTATTTTTTGTGAATCTCCCCCAAAGACATAGATTTTATCATTTATAGCCGACATAGCTAATCCATATCTAGGACTAGGTGATGGACCCATTTGTGGAAACCTGTACCATCTTTGGTCTATTAAAAAAAAAAATTATAAAGATTTGTAAAAAAAAAGGTACCTGAACAAATAAAATAAAAATAATGTATAAGTTGTTAACTTTGAACACATACTTGCAATTCTAAAAGCAGCTAAATCTCCTAATTCTTCATTTTCTTGAGTTTTCCCACCAAAAACATATAAAACATCATCAACTAAAATTGCAGCATGTCTTTCTCGAGGTTCAGGAAAATATCCAATACAAGATAATTCTGTCCAAATTCCTGTTTCAACATTAAAACTCCAAATATCATTAAAACATTTTCGACCATCAGTTCCACCAAAGCTATTATTAAGATTAATAAGATATCATAATTTTTTAATTTATCGTAAATAAAAAATATTGAAATTAAAATTTTAATTATGCAAATATTTACTTGAATAATTAAAAAAAAAAAATACTTACATATAAATTTTATTATCATAAGCACAAGCACTATGTCCACTTCGACTGGAAGGACCTTTGTTTACGGAATTAACAACCTCCCAACGCAGTACCACAGAATTAGCTATTGAAAACGAAAAAAATAATAATACATTTAAATTATTATTTTATCATAATAGTAATGATGATGATAATAATTTATAATAAAATTGTCCATTTTTTTTAAAAAAAAAGAACTGACCACGACTTCTTCCCAACGAAAATTTCAATTTACTCCTTTTTCTTCTTAATTTTAAAGACTTCAAATTGAGACACATCAACTCATTAAAATAATTTCCCAAATTTTGTCCACCGAATACATATATTGTTGATCCAATAATGGTTGAAGCATATCCAACAAGATTATCAGGTGAATTCCCATTTACAGTGTATTTACTCCAAGCTCGCGAAACTATAAACCAACGAAGATAAAATGAATCGTAAGTATTTCTCACGTGATTTTCGAAAATTAGAAATGAAAAATTACGAAATTGAAAATTTTACATGTATTAAGAAGATATATGTTTCCATCTGATTTATTTTCAGGATTCTCGGATACGCCACCAAAAACTAAAAAGAATGAACGTAAAGTTAAAAAATGGTATAAAAAATAAATAAAAATAAAAGAAATAGAGAGAATGGAATGTGAAATGAATTATTATTCACCAATAATATTATTTTCGTAAATAAATTGTGTATGTCGATATTTTTTAGGTATCTCTCCGGAAGCTGTCAATAAATTAACATTGAGCGTAGCTAATTTTAAGAAAAGAAAAATATATATATATATTTATTATATTATGTAATCCACAACGAACTAAACAAAATTAAACTAACGAACACGATATAATCAAATTCTTTTTTTTTTTTTCGATGTTTGTTTATCAGATATCTTTCAATTTTTAGAGAATAAAGTATGTGCGCATGGGAGAGAGAAAAACTTACTTATATCAATAGAATATAAATCGTTAGTAGCATTTTCTTGAGTCAATCCACCAAAAACAAATAATTCATCGTTAATACTACGATCGCTCATAGAAAAATCATAACGAGAAAAAGGATTAAGTAAATTTAAATTTTTTTGACACCATGGATATGATCGTATATTTGGTTTTGATCTAGTAACATTTGTTGTTGTCGTGGAATTCATAATTCCCAAGAAAATATTTTTAAATAAAATAAAAATACAAATAATAAATAAATAAAAACTTGAGAAACAAATATTTATTTATGACGATAAAAATGGAAATAATTAATTGTTTTGGTTTCAGTTTTTCACTACTATTACACTTTTATCTATCTGTAAAATACCATCGATCCAGCGAGGTAAATGAATTTATATTTTTTCGAAGAAAACGAAAAATTAAATAAAAAAAAAAGAAGAAAGTACAGTAAAGTAAAAGAAGAGAAATGTGACGATCTATTTATATTTTAATTTTACGTGTGTGAGAGGCTTTTTTAATTAAAAACTGTTGTGGCTACATCCTCCGAAGATTCCGATATGCGTGCAGGACCAATCATAAATTACACTACTTTCTTTAAAGTGCCATGAATTGGTGTTACTTTTTTTCCGTTTTTGAATCATAACAAAATAAATTGTACCATCATAATTTCTTTCGTCTTTTCAACTTGATTAAGGTTACAAAAAATAGAAAAACATCTAAACAATACAACTATTACAATATTACAAATCACAATTGACAACAATTGACAATATTACAATACAAGACATTTTTTTAAGAGGATGACATTTTAGGAAATTTAGAACATTTTAAGGACGAGGCTGATCCTTTTATCTCAATTCTACCTATCAGATATAGATTCTCGTGTAATGAGAGAAACCAAGTATATGGATCAACCTTTGATCACCTAATAGCATATACAAGCATTTACAGTAGTCAAAATTGAATTTAGTGAGATATTATGTCATTTTTTTTTAAAGGTCAGGTTTCCTTATTAGGCTAATTAACTTTAATAATTTACCTGGATTAGATATAACAATTGCAGCATAATTGTTTCACATATTATGATTTTAAACATTCGTCACAAGAAATTGTCATAAAACTATTCTTTTTTAAACTTTTTATACTTACTTTATATATGTTTTTAAATGTAATTTTTTTATTAGGTTAAAAGATTTTCCAAAATTCGAAAAAAACGAATTCGTAGTCCACCTTTATTTTTTCTTTTTCTATAAAAGATAAAATTTTTTTTTTATTGTAATTAATTATCTTTTAATATCGTTCCTCACCTTCATACATTTCAGGTGCTGATGCAAGTAAATCCCGTAATTCTCCACGTTCATGAAGAATTGAAATAAATTCTCTAAAGAAAAATCCATAATCGAAGCTCCGGCGTTCTTTCTCAACCTTTAATTATTGAAATAAGTAAAGGTTGAAACGGTTTGAAAAAGAATAATAAACTAAATATTGAAACGAATTGAAAAGAATAATTTTTACCTCTTTTAACTTAATTTCTCTTTCATTATCTTCAAGTAAAACTTTAATTTCACCAATCATTGGAGATCTTAATTGTTCAAGTTTTTCGATATCATCATGACACAACGATAGATTTAATAATTCCATTCCAGCATTTCCTCGATCTATTACTTTCGCTTGTTCTTCTTCAGTAAATGGAACATCTACCTTTGGGGATTTTTAAAATTGTGTTTAACTATTTTAACTATTTAAATTGCAAATATGTATAACATGTATATATATATATAAACGCATCTATTTCTCTATCTAACTTTTTTATCTTTAAAGAAATAAAAGAAAAGAAGAAGGAATTTAAGGAATAATTCATAGATTTATTGCATATTAACAACATACATCTTCAAAGTTTGCTTCTCTCCATGATCTATTAATTTCATCCAATCTTTCTTCGACAAGTTTTTTTATGTATAAACAATCGTTAATTCTGTCTTGATTAATACCAAGTTGATCTTTTGTTATAGCCAATAATACATATTCTAAACCCTCTGCTTGAAAGCTATAATAATAATAATAATAATAATAATAATTGTAATTGTTATTGTTATTATTATGGTTATTATTTGTTATCTTCGAGAAATAGTGCTTACCTTTCAATACGCTCATTAATAATGCCACGAGCAGAATCATACCAATGTTTAAGATCATCATATCCTCCTATTTCGAATAATTATTATTATTTTATCCAAGTTTTAATTTTTTTATGGTAGGATTAATTAATTAATTAATTAATTAATTAACAATAATTAATTAATAATTAACTAATTAAAAAATAATAATTAAATAATCTAATCTTTAAAATATAAAAAAATTATTATCACAAACCTATATTTACAGGATGAGGAAATAATCCATCTAATTGCCATACTTGTCCATCGACAGGCACATATGCAATATAATGATACACTTCATTCGATAATTCCTCTACTATTTCAGACTTTTTTTTCTTACGAACAGGCTCCTCGACAATTAATGCATCTTCTGGATGTCTAAATTAAACAATTAATGAAAAAATATTTAGGGATGTTCTGATAATTTTAATATTATATATATTATATATATATATTGTTATTATTTTCACACCTTGCCATTGAATTATGAATTTGACGAAAAGTTGGATGATTCGCAATTGTGCACCCCCTTGTCTAAAAATAATAATAATTTTATCATTATTATCTATTATTATTATTATTTATTAGTAACTATTAATTTATTAAATTCTTTTCTCTCTCCTTCTTTCTCATCCTCTCTCATCCTCCCTCATTCTTTAAATGATGAAAACCGTAATAATAATATTACATACGGCAGGTGGAAGTTCCCAAGTGAAATCTTTAAACTCTTTAAGTTCTTGACCAATCTCCAATTGAGGGCAATTCAATACTATGTTTAATATTGCTAGTGTAGCACACGCATTCTCAACTACCTTTGAGAAATTATTTTATGATTACACAAAGAAGTTTCGATAAATTCGTAAATGGGAATTCAAATCAAATATAAAATTATGAATATAAAATTGATAGTAGACTTTATTACCTGATTGGCAAAATATACATTTTTTGGCAATTCCTCGATAGGTTCGTATTCAACATCTTTGTTTAATCCTCTTAAATCTCCCGATACATCACCAATCATTTTGAAAAGAAAAACTATTCCAAATATTTGCCTAATCAATTATTTGAATCAATTATTTTGAATTTGTATCAATTAATGAAAATCATCATTATACTAATTAAAGATTTTTAATCAAAAATTTACCCTAATTCATCAAAATTATCTTGTTGATCAAGGACAAATACTTCTGTAGCTTTGGCTCCTCTAACACCCAGGTCATACATCAATGCAGTAAAAAGATCTTTACATTAAAAAAAAAAAAAATTAAAAAATAAAGTAACATTAATTTTTCGAAAATTTTATTAAAAATATTTGATAACACAATAATTCATATTTACTCGGGTCAGACTGTAATTTAACCCACGGCCCTTCGGCCCGCTCTTTATGACTAAGAAGTAACGAAGACATAATCAAAATTTTTATAAATTCGTTTACTACTACTATTATTATTATTATTATTATTATTATTATTATAAAGAATTTGAGTTAAAAAATTCTATTGGGTAATTTTAAAAGGTGCAAAGGAATTTAATAATGACACGAAGAAGAAAATACAACAACGACGTGATTTTCGTAATGATTTTCGTAATGATTTCGTAATGAATATCGTGGTGTATTTTTTCGAAAAAGGAAGAGTGAATTTAAAAAAAAAATCTTAAAGTTTTTTAGATATTTTAATATTTTATACGTTTATGTGAACAAAACCAGACAAAGGGAACATGTGTTACACATAGTTACAAGGATCAAATTTAGCATTTGTACTATCATCTATTTCCATAATAGTAATCATCCGAAAAAACTTTCTTTGGTTTGCATTAACTCAATCTAAACGAGATCAGATAATATTTCTGTTTTGTGAGTAGATGAAGTAGCAAATAAATTTTGATAAGTCTACTTCTTTATTAAATAATTCATTACCTTCTAAGGTTTGATTGTCGTCAATTTTTCAATATTTTTAACGCAAATTCTTTATTAAGAGGTCTTAATTCTTTAACTTTTAATTTCAATAAATTCCGGATTTTCGCATTGGTCTTTTAACTTGGTTAATTCTTGGTTATATTCTTTCTGTAAAATCTTTTTCTCTTTTCCTTTTTTTCTAATTCTTCTGCTATGTTTTTTTTCAATAGTTCAATTATTCCCTCCTTGCTTTTTTTTTTTTTTTGTTTCTTCTTCACTTGGCTTTTTAGTAAAAATCTTGTAAATATTCAAGCTATTAGCAAAATTAAAATAAATGATGTTGTCAGTTTAACTTATTACTTGACTTTCCCGAAGTCTATATGCTTGTTGCTTAGTTGTTTAGCGTGAATGTATCCTTCAATAATTTTATGACAAGTTTATTCGTGAATTCAAGTAATAATAAAAATTCTAAAATATTGTCTAATTTGTAATTGCGGATTTGTGTTTTTCTTCGAAGTATAGCATTCCAACTCTTTTTACTTTGCATCAAAAAAGTGATATGCACTGCACTTGTTTTTTCATTAAAATAGGGGTCAGTAAAACTTTCTCCATCTTCTTAAAAAAGCTTAATTGCCCTGTTGCAATATCAAATATTAAAACTACAATGGCAATAAAAATTAGTCTCACTTTTTTAATTTATTCTTTTACCAGATCATTAATATTTGTTATTCCAGGAGTAAAGGATATACTGTAACCCACAAAAAAAGCAAAGTAAGGCAATAAAAGTATCAAGTCACGTACTCAAAATTAAAGTGGATAGAAAGGAATAAATTCATCATATCAAGAATTGGAAGCCATAAGTGGGACAAAAATGATAAGCCAAATAACTACTCAAGTTCTTCCTTTCTTGTTTAGAAGCAAAAGTGGTTTACTTTCAAGGAAAGCATATACACTGTAAAAAGGCAAAAGCGATAATGTCAGAACCATTCAATTAATGATCTGATAGAAATGATATCTAGTATTCCAGAAGGTGTGATAGGAATTCAAGTTAATAGAAAATTTCAAAAACGCCAAACACTATTACAATTAGTTAGGGTTAGGGTTAAAGTTATAATTAAAAATAAGATTTGTATGTAAAATTTTACAAGGAACATTTTTTGTTATGACTAAAAATAAGATTTTTACGTAAAAGTTTGCAAGAAACCATTTTTGTTATGCTCAAAAGGTGATTTTTTTGTGAAGATTAAAGTCTGACGATTTTATTGGCTAAATTTCATCGTGGCTTTAGTGACGTCCTTTATTAATACGACACGTTACATACATTTACGCTTTCATTTTTAATATTAAAGGAATGTACACAATATTTTTTATTTGCATTACATTTCTATATTAGAAGTATCCTTTATTAAAATTAAAACTTAGATTTTTCGATGTACATTAATCCATTTTTCGTAAATAAAAATAATCACCTTGTTGCAAGCATATAAGATTTAAATATAAAAGTTATTTATGAAAAGATTAAAATCAAATAAATTTGAAATATATTTTTAATATAAAACTTATTTCCTGTCGATTAGATAACGTCGGAAGGGCTGTTGAAGGCAAGTGTTCTTTGTCAGTACGGGTGTGTCTCTTATGAGTTAGTCCAAGTCTCAGAAACTAAAAATGTTAGGTGAAATGACGGCGTGGCATCTGTAATAGTATAGAGAAATCATTATGTAACCCTCTTTAACAAGAGATCAAGACTAAATATATTTTTATTTTAATTAAAATTAATCACGTGCATAATTTTAAAAATAAAATATATACCCTGGATATAGACTCTGCCCCCTACATAAATAGCTATAATGGATAAGACTAATTTAGTAAATATTTGTTTACAATATTTCTTGGCTTGGTAAAGTTTATAAATTGAGTAAAATTATTATTTATTTATTTATTTATTTTAACAAAGAATTACAATTACGAGTGAGTGTTTACTTCATTTATATGGACCATATAAAAAGATTTCTAATCAACTGAGAATTTTTTGAACACGCCAAGGAAACCAAGAATAACAAATGCTATTCCAGTTAGCCTTTAGCCTTATTGCCTTATTGTCTTATTGTTAAACTCCGTTTTATTATTGAAAGGGAAAAATTTATAATTTTTTTTTTTCTTTTTCAAGATTTATCTAACTTTTATTGTTATTAGTGAAAAAAAGTTTTGTTTAACTTAATCAATGAGATATAACATTATATAACATTCCAACCAAGAATGGAAAAAATTCAAATAAAATAAAAAAACCTAACTGGTGAAATTTAAAAATGGAAATTTATAACGTTATCGTTTGAAATTAAAGTAAATTTAGTTAGACAAAGACCTTTAATAACTGTACTGAAACAATTTAACTGCATTTTTGAAACGACTTGTTTTCCAATAGTTTCAAAATTTTAAAATAACAATTTTTTGCAATCAATGAATAAATTCACTTTAATATCATATCTGGCTTATGGATATATGTGTAAATCTTATAAGCCCTATAAAAGAACTATAAATGGAATTTTTGATCGTCGCATCACAATATTTTTTTTTTGCGTAAAATGAACAACATTCCATAAAAGATTATGATCGTGAAATAGATATTTTACAAAAAAAATCTTGAATGAAATTATTTGTTCAATGGATCAACTTTTATAAAAATTTAATTACTATTCAAGTTTTTGCCGAGCGTTCCATGCCGAACCTTGATTTCTAATTATAAATCTGATAATTGGTAAATTGATAATAAATAAAAATTAATATTTTTCTTGTTTGTGGATTCAAACTATTTAAGGTTTCACTGCATAAGCAATTAAATGAACATGATTTTTATTCACAACGGAAAAATATATATAAATTCAGATCTTTTTTTTTTTTTCCTCCTCAATAATTAAAATTGAATTAAAAATTCGAAAGAAAAAATAATAATTATAAAAAAAAAAAATGAAATATAAAAAATCGTATATTATCTTATTAATTTTTTTAATTTTCCTGTGTGATCACATTTCATGTAACCTTCCAAAGTCGCATGCTTCTGCTTTGATAAATAATAAATTATATATATTTGGAGGTGCAAACATCGCCGGCGATCTAAATAATTTACCTTCAAATTTTTTCTTTATCGATTTGTCAAATATTCCTTTTCTTGATAAATTTAATGATGCTGGGTATCCCTGGTTTGATCTTACTTCGCCTAATATAAATAATAATATTATTACATGTTTGGGTACAACGGCAGTAGCTGGTGGCGTAAATAATACTTCATTTATTTTATTTAGTAGTCAAATGTCACTGGACAATAATAAAGATAATAGTAAAGATGATAATAATTCGGTTTTATCATTTAATACAATAACAAATACTTGGTCACGTCCAAATATTACAGGAATTCCTCCTATAAGAAGAAGAAATACTCAAGCTGTTATTAATAATTCTAATGGAAAGATGTATATATTTGGTGGTTCAACTGATCCGTTATTCACAAATTATAATTCAGATTATCCCAAATCAACATTTTATAATGATATGATAATTTTGGATACCATTAATTGGACTTGGAATTATGGATCAAATATTAATGCACCTTCACGAAGAAATGATTTCACGGCAGTAATATTGTCTTCAGGAATTATTATTTATATTGGAGGAAGTTTATCAAATGGAAGTTATGTTGGAATGAATCAGGTTTTTAAATTTCTTTTTTCCTTTTCCTTTGATAAAAAAAAAATTTTATTATTAAAGGATAATTTATTTTTGTTTAGTTATATTTATTTAATACAGAAACGAATGAATGGAATGCAATGGTATGATATTATTTATTTATTTCGCTTATATAAAAATTTCTTTACTTATTTCAAGAATTTCTAGTAATAAATTTAAATTCTTTCATTAGATTGCTAACGGAGATATTCCTGATTCTCGTGAGGGAGCTTCATCTGTTTTAAGTAAGTTAAAAGACTACACATAAACAATTAAAGTTAATAATAATAATAATTCAAATAATAATTTAGTTAATAATTTATTTTAGCTTCTGATGGTAAAATTTTAGTTTTTGGAGGAGCAAAGAAACCAAGGAATAACAAAATTTATGATATTCCTTTCTCTTCCATGTTGGCAATCTTGGACACCACAAAAAATCCGTATGAATGGTCAATTCCTAAAGTAAGAAATTCTGAACCATCACTACCACCACTTATTTATCACAGTGCTATATTGGTTAAGAATATAATGGTTATTGCATTTGGTATATATTTTTATTTTTATTTTTTTTTTACATTGTAAATTAATTTCTTTTTTTATAAATTTAACATAAATTAAATCATTTAATTATTTAATTAAGGAAATATTATTAATGCTGGATCAAGTAACAAAATATACATGTTTGATACAAAAAATTATGAATGGATAAATACAAAGGAGAGCAAAAAAAGAAATGAGAGAAGTAAGAGAGATAAGATAAAAGAAAGAATTGAGATAGTGGGAAAGAGAGATAACAATGCTTTACCAATCCCAGCAAATGGCACTTCACCAACACCAATTCCAACAAATATTACTTCACCAAATATTACTACATTAGCCACGCCCACAACAATGGATTCATCCAAATCCTCCAGTAAATCAGTAATAATAATAATAATAACAACAATTTTGGCATCAATATTTGTATTAATTTCTATTATATTTATCATATGCCTCTATCGAAAACGTAAAGTACAGAATAACAAACATAAAAACAATGATAATAATGATAATTTACAACGGAATATTGAAATCAGCCAAGGACCATTAGCACAATCACCACAAATATCATCATCAACTTCTTCTACTGCACCATTAATTTCCTCTGATTTTCCATCACCAGAATTACCACCTTTACAACAATTACCACCTTTAAAATATCCACCTCAAAAACATATAATTCAATATCAATTCATACCAAATATTCCTCCTCCAACTTCTTCCACAAATCCTTCAACTTCTCCATCATATCCATCATATTCATCATATATAGATGATATAAGGCATAATAATATTCCCCCATTTTCATCTAATTCTTCAAATTTATCTCAAAATTCTGCACCAATACCAAAATTACATTCTTCTTCAATTACGCCAACATTTGAAGTACCGCAACAATCTTCTTCATCCAAAAATTATTTATCTCAACCTCCTTATCCGTCACATTCAATACCAATTATGCCAACATTTGAAGTACCTTCAAGACAAAATTCTCCTGAACCACCACCCTCAGCACAAATTCAATCAACTATTTCTTCTTCTTCTTCTATTCCAGATATTCCATCTCATTCATCTTCACCTCAACTTTTTTCTTCTTATCCATCATGTTCAGTACCAATTATGCCAACGTTTGAAGTACCTTCAAAACAAAATTCATCTCAATCTCATCCACCTTAAACTTTTTCTTTAAATGTTTTTGACATTATTATTGTTAAACCATTTAAATCACATTGTATATATGTGTGTGGATCTTTGTAAATGCATAGTTTATTTATCAATGTATATACTTTTTTTTTTTTTGTAATTAAAATATTATATAAATATTAAAATAGATAATTTTCTTTTGATTAAATACAATTTACAAAATAATATTATATAAAACTTTGCTAAAGTTTGTTTGGTCCAGGTGAAATAACAAATTTTAGTGTAATTTGTGTTTAACTTAATAACAAAAAAAAAATCAAAATTAAAATAGAAATTGTATTAAAAATTCTGAAAAACGTCACATTTTATTGTGAAGATGCAATGCATTTTAATAAAGTTATTATTACTATTAATAGATTCACTCTCTTTAAGAACTTTGAGAAGGGGGATTATTTGTAGATTCTTCTGTAGATTGAACATGTACTTCGTTTCCAGATTTATCCGTAAATCCAGATTCTCCAGTATGAAATTTATGTTCTCCTGATTCTCCTATAACAAAATGATGTTCTACAGATTCACGTTCTATTATAATTTCTTGATTTTCACCGGATTGTCTTGTGAGATGATGTTCTTCGAAAGGTTGATGTATAATTGGAAAAGGAATTTTAAAACTAATTTCACGGGATTCTTGATATAAAAAAATATATAATATATAAATTCTAGTTTTTAAGTATTATTTATAAAATTTCAAAGAAAAAAAAAAAAAAAGATTACCAATATTTTCTTGCAGTGTTTCAGAAGTTGAAAATTTTCTAGGTTCAACTCTAACTCCATTATTATTATTATTATTATTGTCATAAAAACCTCCTTTTGTCACACCGACTTTCCTTTTTTTTCGATTAAATAAGATTCCAGAAATAGCTGCAATTATTCCTAATAATGCTAATCCACCTACTACACTGGCAACTATTATATTATTCGGTAAATTCTGTGAAGGTGGGGGAGAAGGTGAATGATAAGAAGAAGAAGTTGATTTGTGTCTGGATTTGGAAGATGAGGAAGTAGCAGTGGGTAAACTTGTGGTGGTAGATGGTAAATAATTTAGTGAGTTTATCCAGGTATAATTAGATGTATCTAATATATATATTCCATCCGATGCACCTTGATTGGTTATGTTTCCTATTTATTTAATCATTTAAGTAATTTTTTTATTATACAAAAAAAAAAAAAAATTTAAAAATAAAAACTGAGAATTCATACCAAATGCCACGAACATGTAATTTTCTACCATATTAGCAGTATGATATGCGAGACCTCCCACCGGTATATAGTCAACACCAAGAACTACCTGGTCAATCCAAGTAAAATTCGTAATACTTAAAACTGTTAATTGTGGTTCAGCTGAAATAATGCCACCATTTGAACTATTGGTCATTATTCCGCCATAGACTATAATTAGTTGTTGATCAGAGCCTACGTGGACGTGAAATTGAGAATTAATAATATTACGACGTGAAATTGAAAATTAAAAGATTTGATTCTTACTAAGAAGTGCAGTATGGCCAGTTCTTGGATCCGGAATATTTCCCGTTGAATTCTATAAAATAAAGTTAATAATGATTGTGCAAAAATAATAAATATACATATATATAAAAACATAAATATATATATACCATTACTGTCCAAACATCGGATAAAGTATTATAAAGATTTATCTACCAATTTACAAATTTTTTAATTATATTATTTAAATGGGTCTTTTCTTTTTTAAGTAATTCTAACCTCAGACATTGAAACCATTGTTAAATTTTCAATAGTTCCTCCGATGTATGCAATGATACCTCCTGGCAACATCGTAGCACTAAAACCTTGTCGAGGTGAAGGTGCATTGAAAATTGATCCAAATTTCCAAGTCCAAAGAATAGTATCCAAAATTATCATATCATTAAAAAATTTTAAACTGGGATAATCTGTAAATGGATCAGCTGAACCACCAAATATATACATCGCTCCATTAGAATTATTAATAACAGCTTGAGTATTTCTTCTTCTTATAGGTTGATTTCCTGTAATATTTGGACGTGACCAAGTATTTTTTATAGTATCAAATGATAAAACCAAACTATTATTATCTGGTGACATGTGACCACCAAATAAAATAAACGCAGTATTATTTATTCCACCCGCAACTGCTGTACCCCAACTAGTATAAATAATATTAAGATTAGAAAGTTCATTCCAAGATAAAGTATCATTATTAAATATATAATTAATGATCTTGTTAAGTGACACGTCAAGATAAAAGAAATCTGAAATTTTAGACACAGAATATCCTTCAATATCTCCTCCACATATATATAATTTTTCACTAATTATAGCTGAAGTATGGGCAAGACGCGCAAAAGGAGTATAACCAGTTACATAAACTAAAAGATAAATCCAAATAAATGTAAAATAACACAACAATTTATACCGATTCCTCATTTTAGAGGCGGCAAAACGACGCAATTATTTTTTAAGAATAAATTATATAAATTAAATAATTCAAACGAAATTAATAAAACAGGATGGGAAAAAAAATGTTTGACGAAAAAAAAAAATATCAAAAATTCATTTTATTATACCAATTAGAGTAGTATTAAAAGTTCCTTACATACAATACATCAATTAATATAATTAATTTTCAACTACCGAAGATATTTTAATCGATAATCATTGTCATAATCCACCACGCCTCATAATAAGCCTCATGAAAATGATGAGAGCGAAACAACCATTCTTTATAAAATTTTATCATTGTTAAAAAAACTTATGGCAAAAATTGCAAAAAAAAAGAGCAGAGCCATATATTTAAAAATAAAATAAAAAAAATTAGATATACTTGTAATGGTAAATACTTTTCAGTTACTCTTCTTTGAAAATTAAATTAAAAGTGATTCTTATTTCGCGATTAATATATTTTATGTATATAAATAAATGTTTATAAGATCGATCGTTCACAAAAACAATAAAAAAAAAGAAATAAAAACAAAAAGAAAAATTATTTTTAAGCCATAATCACCTGATTAAACATGATTAAGTGTGTTAGAAAAGATAATTAAAAATTTTTTGAAATAAGATCAAAAAAAAATTCATTATTTTTTCCTTTAACCATTTCATCAATACATTGTTTAAATTTATTTGTTTCATTTTTTTTATTCTTTAACCATGAGTTTTTCTCAATCCCTTTTAATGCGGTATATTCTGCTAATTTTGCATTTACTTCATCTGTTAAATAATAATTTTCTTCAGCCTCAAATATAAAAGGAAGTTTAGATTTAGTTATATTGTCAGTACTAGGAAGACATGAAAGTAATTCCTTCGGATATTGTTTTAATAAAAGATCTTTTTTACTATACATTTATTATAATTATTTAAATAGATTATTATTATTATTATTATTATTATTATTAGAACAAAATTATATATAAAATTGAAAAGAAGCAAATAAACGAAAAGTATCCTCGCACACTCGATAAAATAGACATAAAATAAATAAAATTAAAATTAAAAAAATTATCATACCAAGAGGTTTTATTTTCCAAACAATCTTGACAACTCAATACTTTAAATTCCCAAATCACATGCTCGATACGTTCTTTAATTTCAATTCCACAGAACTGACATGAATTACCTAAAAAATTCAACCAAATATATTGTTGTTCACTCATAATTTCTTTATCAAATGGATTTCGTAGTTGACATAAAAATTTCAATCGACTATTACGCCATATTTGTTGAGTATATCTAGAAGTTGACCAAAGGAATTCACGAAATTTTTTACAAACGGTAGAAAGAATATATAAATCTTCGGGTGATAAATTTTCACATATTTCAGCTAATAGTTCTGGCGTCAGTGAAATTAACGAAATTGATTTTTCATCATTAGAATTATCGTTTAATTTAACATTTGATATATTTAGTTCATCATCATAAAGTTCTTTATTTGCCATTATTACAGTATTATTATTATTATATTATATATATTATATATATTGTATTTTGAAGAAACGGGAATGAATAAGAAAAAGGATGATGATGACGATAGGAAAAGACAAAAAACAGACTTATAATGTAAATTTCGGAGTTTATGCTGCAATATCCTTATTTATAGTAAATATTGGGATAAATCAGCAATAATGATGTGATGATATCGGTTTTCATCACATCATTAGTTCTTTCATTAATAATTTTCCATAATGAACAATCTTTATTAATTAGTTAAATCATAAAGTAAACTAAAGAATATAGTTCAATTTTAAACTATCAAAAAATATATAAATTATTTAAATAATAAAGATAAAGAATAAAAATCAAAAGATTTTGTCTTTTTAATAAAAATAATAATAAATAAAATAATAAAATATAAAATTCTGATAAAGAAATCAGAAACAAAGATAAAAATGATAGTCTTTATATTGTGAACCTGAATTTGATGGTCCAGCTTCTGAATTAAAATTTTACAAAATATTATTAACTTCAATATTTTTAAGATAAAGTTGAGTGGAAATCCTGAGATGCTATAATATAATTATGCTATGGCATAGGTTATAATGCTCAAATTACATTTGCTGTGTCAGATAAGTAACATGTGATTCAGTTTTGTTGTATCAAATGAGTGAAACGTGGTTCAGTTTTGCTGTGTCAAAGTTGAGTGGTCATATCCTGCAAATTTAGGTGTGGTCCTTTTATATGATGCTCAAATTGCATTTGCTGTATCAAAGATAAGTAGGCATAGCCTGATAACTAGTTATTGTAGATGATACATAATTCAGTTTTGTTACATCAAAGATGAGTGGGTATAACTAGTTATTGCGGATGACACTGTTACCATAAGTTTCTTTCATTTTAATAATTTTTATTTATAATTTTATTTCTTATTTGTTATTTATTTTGTTAGTATAATTATTTAGTATATTTTATTTGTTAGTTATAATTAGTATTCATTTATTAGCATAATACAAATTATGTAAATCAATAATGTAGATCATAGTAGCCCAGTTACTGATCAATTTACTGACCAATTTAGAAGTCATCTAAAGCCAAGTATATCTTGTGATTTTAGGTAATCATCAATAATCATATAATTACAGAATATATTCTTTTTTATTAAACAGAAAATCAAGAGAATCAGTTTGTTTTTTTTGTTCTTTTAGTAATGAGAAACAAGACTTTTTTTCATAATCAATCTATTTAAAATAATAGAAAATTTGAATAAAACATTAGAAGCAAACAAAAAAAATCTGTTGGTTATATCTAAAGCCTTTAGTTAATAGTTATATCAAATTGTTTATATTTATTTACAATTTGGCTTTAATGTTGGTCAACTATTTGAGATTCCAATATATGAATTTTATGAAGAATGGTGACCTTTTGTTTCAAATATTTAGACAAGATGTGACTATAAAAATCATACTAATATGCTAACTTCTGGAATAATTGTGAAATTCAAGAGAAACTTGATGAAATTCGAGCGGACTATGCAAACTATAAAAACATTATAGTATATACCGATGGCTCGATGACATCAGAATTACAGCAAATAGAAAATATACCATACATAATTAAAATCATGGGATGTGGTTGGGTCATGGTTGGAGAAAAAGGGGAAAGGAAAGTTTTCA